TTAATTCTCATGTCCAGACGTTGAGTCGTTCTCCCTATGTAGTCAGCAGAGCAACTACAGTTATATTTGTAAACAATAGAATTAATTTGATGTGGAGTGAGAGCATCCTTGCACCCAGAACGAAACATAGGCCGGGTTTGGAAAACTATACGGACCTCAACCGAGAACAAACAACGCCAAACATTAGCTGAAATCTGCCTAATTATGCTTTCACACTTGGATCCAATCCAGGGCAATCTAAGATAAACAAGGCACTTTTTTTAACTGTACAATGTTTGACCTTTCTGAACTCCACAATCTTGTTCCGAATGACCGAATGAACAGTATCGGGGGGATACCCTAAATCACGTAAGGTTTCCTTCACAAAATTCATTTCATCATCCAAGAAAGACTCTGAGCATATCATTAATGCCCTATGAAGTAGGGTTCTAATAATGTTTATCTTATGTTTTCTAGGACAAAAGGAATCCCAACATGTATATAACCCCGCAAATGCTGGTTTCCTATAAACAGAGGTGAGAAAAGTTGTCGGTGTCCGATGTAATAGAACATCCATGAAGGCTAGTTGAAAATTGGATTCCTTCTCGACCGTAAACCGCAGCGCTGCATGAATAGCATTAAGAAAAGAGGGAAACTGATCAGTCTCAACTGCATTATTAAATAAACAAAAGTATTGTCAACATATCGACAATACAGTTGAGGACGAAATACATTACTACGTATTCTGTCCGCGTGAAAGCCAACAAAAATATTGGCAAATGTCGGACCCAAAGGGGAGCCCATAGCAACACCGTCAATCTGTCGATACATAGTATTATTAAAACTGAATTTGACAGACACCGTGGAAAATTTCTTCAAATCCACAAATAAAGACTCGGGAATACTAGGGGAGACAAAGAACTGCGATAAAGCAAATCGCAGTAAGTATTAATTGTTTCCAAAAGAGGGACACAAGTGAATAAGGAACAGACATGAAATTACTCTTGAGGTGGGTAAAAACTGGGGTTCTATACACAAGAAACTTCTAATGAAATTCGACCGTTTAGTCTAATTCGTCCCAGGTTGTATGGGCTTCCAAAAATTCACAAGTATGGGGTACCATTGTGACTAATTCTGTCAATGGTTGGTTCAGCCCAACACAAGGTAGCCAAATGGCTCTCATCACTTTTGGAACCAGTATTGCAGCACTTAAGTGGATTTTGTATAAATGATTCTTTTTTCTTTGTTGACCGCATCCGGAATTTGTCTCCTTCAGGTAAGTCCATGTGTTCCTTTGAAGCGTCAATGGGCTACTTGCTGAACGAAGTGAGTAACGGGAAGGCTACTCTCGAAGGCAAATCTCTAGTTATAATCCAGTCAGTTGATAAGATTTGTATTTTATGACCGACATGTTTCCAGAGCAAAACCGGAATAGAATTGTAGTTATACTTCTTTTTCGTCTGCTTAAGACGCAATAAAATTTATTAAAACAAAAGAAATCGTCTAATTTTGTCTCTTGTTGATCAAAGGTCTGGCAAGGGGAAGCGACTGGTTATAAGTTCCAGATGCAACTGACACCACAAAGACGCGATAAGAATTCCCCGTTGATAGAAATTTTGGATGATAATTGAATTTAGCAATTTGGGATGGACCACGCCTAGCCCCTGGGAACAGGTTTGATCAGGAAAGGAAAAAAGCCCAGGTAGAATTTCAAGGAAGGCGGAAGAACTCACTGCACTCTTGTGATGGTGAGAGTTACCCACGCGAGATGGAAGGAGTTGGACGGATCGATATTCTGACACCACCACTCCTCGGGTAAGGGACCTCTCCAAACTTGGTCAGGCAATCAATTTCCCAAATAACTCATGTCCCGCGCCGAGTTTGCGCGAGGGTCCATAAATACAGACGAGTGAGGTGAGAGGTAAAGAAGAAGCAACCAAACGGTTCGAGGTGCTGTTTGCGAGAGAGCCGCGTTGCCAGTTGCTTCAAGACCCGCTTTGTCAAACTCCGCGCGGCTTATACAGAAAAAAACTTAGACTCCGGCCTTGTTCCAGAAGACCAAATACAACTGAATGGTCGGCCCAATGAAATCACAGAGTGGAAGAGATCAGACGACAGCTTTGTACCAGTTTACCGAGCGTAGTGTCACAGGGTATTAAGTGCGGGGGGGGTCTTGAAAATCTGCATGTTGGTAATTAAATGAATAGAACGTCTATTGTATGAATCTTTGATATAAAGTTATTATGTTACACAACTGTCTCTTATTTTGTTTCTTGTTACCTCATCTTCACCAAAGCAATAGGATAAGCGAGGTCAAGTATACAACTTAGCCTTCACCCGCCCTGTGAAAAAAAAAAAAAACACAACGTGGACAGGATGGGACTAAGGATCAGAGCAACCAACTCCAAGGCTGACCGAAAGGACATGCCCGATGACTGAGGGCGGGATTGTGATTATTATCACAGTGTGTGGATAGCTAATAACAAAAGTCAAGGAAACAAAAAAAAGCAATTAAAATTATATATATATATATATATATATATATATATAATCCATAGACAGATCCTTTGGCTATATCACAGCTCATGAGTGTGGTTAGACGTCTGGTTGACTCTCGCTGGGATCGAAACCAGACTGAATTGGTATTACTAGCCATAAGCCGTTGGCGCATGGCAGGGATGGAGGTGAATTTAAGCTTATTTATTTTTTAGATAAACATTCCTATGACTGAGAGAACTCGATTCGTTTTATCAAAGCGTAGTGCATTAGTAGCCAGTAATAGTCACTGTTTACAAACTCACACTTCTTCCACAGAGAGCTCAGCCGAAATAATTTTTCAGGAGCATATATATTGTCATCCACAGACAGACTGTTTCACTGTATCACAGCTCATCAGTGTGGTTAGACGTCCGGCTGCGTCGAGCTAGTATCGAAACACGGCTGAACTGGCGACAGTCGAAGAATCTAAACACACACACACACGCACGCATCCCTTGTTCGTGCGCATGTGTAGTCGCATCAGCGAAACAATTTTATTCCGATGAAGTTCTAAAGGACGCCACACCAAAACTATTTTCCACTTTTTCATAAATTTTCCCCAATATTATATATATATATATATATATATATATATATAAATTCCCAAGAGGATAGAATCCAGGTAGAACTCAATGTCCAGGACAGAGTAAGAATATAATATAAAAGGCTCAAACACTAATATTCCATGGTTATAATTTATTACATTGGAATCGTAATTACGATCCAATTCATCAGACCTACAAATTCAAAAAGAAATCGGAAAATATAACACCGGGTATAAAAAATAAAATTTCAGTGAGAGTGTTTGTGTGCGAGTGGAAAAGAGGTGTGAGGGGGAAATATCTGAAAGCTTTAGAGAGAGGTATAACAGAAGAAAGAAGGACAGGAAAGCCTAAAGATAAAGGTGCGGATTAAAATTTAACAAAGTGAATTTTTAAAGAAAGGAGTTAAATAATGGTTTAAATGAATGTGATACATATAAATATGAACGATTTTCAGATGCATAATTCGCTACCGATTCGATGACCTAAAATGAAAATTATAAAACAGACACCGGAAACGTGTATATACAATTTGTGATGACACTACGCAAAATAAAAAAACAATATGATCTAAACGTAAAATCCAAAAGATGAGAGAGAGAGAGAGAGAG